GGAAAGAACAGCCTGAGTCTTAAGGACCAAGGGACACTTGAAAATGGGACTGAATCCAATGATGGCTTTGCAGACATCGCCACACTGGTGGAGGATATTCAGCTTCCAGTGGTCCTAAATTCCTTGGATGAACTTGATCAATCCAAAGGTTCCAAGGTGATCCAAACCAAAGATACCAGAGCCATCAATTTGAACGAGGTGCAGAAAACAAGTGTCATTAATGCTCCCTCTGATCAAGACAGGAAGAACCCATAGTCAAAATCCAGCCTGAGAATCCAGATGGCAGGTTGGTGGGAGAAGTGGCTGTTTCCAATGCTGCAGCCAGTGACAGGGCTCCTGAAAACAGGGCCAAGAATTCTAACAAACCTCAGAAAGCTGCCCCCAGCAGGACCAGCAAAACCAAGAGCCATGGGCAAGAAAAGGCCAAAAGAACCAGAGAAAACAACCCCAAGAAAACTGGAGAGAGTAAGCAGTCAGGGAACAAAGTCAAGGCAGAGGAGAAGCCAAACATTCCAAAGATGAAGCGGAAGAAATACCACCCTGAGCTGACCCAAGAGACCTTCAAAAAGCCCCGGAGCTCCCTGGGTATGCATATGCTGGAGTCTGTGCAGGTTTTTCATGCCCTGGGGAAGAAGAGTGATAAGAAAACTGAACTCTCTTCCTCCCGGGCCCTGGGACACTCAAGCAAACCCAAAGGCCCCCAGCCATCCCTAGCTATCAGACAATGGCTGGATACCCGCCGTGAGGGCAAAGGTCCTGAGAAAGCTCCAGTCAAACGCCAGAAACCAGATGGCAGTGCTGAAAAGGAGTGTTCATCTCCATCTGAGTACGAGCTGCCACCTCCTGGGAAGGTCAAGTTTCCAACTTTGGACAAGCCCCAAGCTCGACCTGTTCCTCGCAGGCCACTGTCTCTGGCATCACGTCGGCCCACTGGGGCTAACCGTGCCCAGCCTGGTTCTAAGTCAGCTCAACCTACTGCAGTCAATTCATCCCAGCCAACATCTGCATCTATGATGGGTCCTGCCAGATCAGCTCTGCCAACTTCAACCAACCCTGCTAGTCCTGGTTCTATGTCGGCTCAACCTACTGCACTCAATTCATCCCCGCCAACTACAGCATCTATGACAGGTCCTGCCAGACCAGCGTGCCAAAATTCGACCAACCCAGCCAGACTAGGTTGGACCAACCCTATCCGGCCTAGTGTCCCACAATCTAATGCTTCTAGGCCTGTGCCCTACAGAACATCAACTTACACTTCTTTCCAAGGGTAACCCAGTCGCACTGCTGTGAAGCCCTGGTCTCCACCCAAACCTCAAAACCAGTATCTACTGCAGGACTCTGCCTGCCAACGAATTCCAAGGAGGAACCCCAGTGTTTCTGGTCCAGTAATGTCAACACCCATCATAAACGAGCAGAGGCCAGAGCGGGAGGCCATGAAGAGAAAGGCTCAGCTGGAGCAGGAGAATGCTGCCAAATGCTCTTTGGGGAAAGTGCAGTCTTTCATTGAGAGAGAAAAAGAAATGGAAATGTCTTAATACTGCGGCTGTGCAGTATAAGTCATGCTAGGAGTATTTATGCCACTCTGGATATCTACAGTTTTCCCAGAGTAGATAAATATAAATTTCTGTATTCTGATATATTTTAAATCTTAATAAAATTGAATAAATAAATATAATAGCATTAGAAGATGAGTAATGAAGCCTTTTGAGTTTTGAGATGCTGTTAACTGTGGTTTTCCTTGGTGAGGGTGGGGATCAAAAGCTGCATGAGAATTAGTAGTTGGATGGGCAAATGAGGGACAAGGGGTAAGAACTGGGGGAATTTTGTCTATGGCCAGAAAGACTAAAGGGGAGGTTATGGGTTTATAAAAAGAAGCAGGAAGGGGGAAAATGGCAGAAGATGCAGGGTCTGAGGTTAGGGTTAAAAGGGTAAAATCTGAATAGAGTTGAAGATGGCAGAAAATGACTCTAGGTTGGCCAGGAGAAATGTAAAGTCTCTCCTGGAGGCTGGCCTTATGTCTCATGACCACCAGATAAGTATTTTAGAAAACAGATACTGGGCACATTTCCAAAAGGTCTGGGTTGCCTTACCATGTATGATTACAGTTGAGAGGTTAAGTACAAATCAGTGGAACCTACCAGATTGAGTGGCAAGGGCTGAGTTATCCTGGAGGCAGCTTATAACTAGCCAAGTGAACTATGGCAGTAGGAGGCTCACCCAGAACAGGGCGTGAGATATAAATCCCCACTTACTCAACACCTATGTACCACACCCACTAATAGACAACATTCAAGGCCAGTATCACTGTGCCACTTTAGTCGTGAGGTTCAGCAATGGGCTGAGGTCACATTGCATGTGGTAGAGCAAAGTCTAGATTGGAGGCTTTTCTCCGAAGTCCTTAGTATTTTCAAGTGTCTCTAGGTACCCAACCAGGCTTTCAGAGCACAGCATCTGGAAGTTAGTAGTGGAAGAGATCAAACTTGAGGAGAAGCCTAAATATTTACTTGAGGGGCTAGCCAGGGCCTTCTCCATGACCGGGGCCACACGTGCTGCCTTGTATAAACACCTCCATCAAGTGAAGCGAAGGAGAATAATCCGTTGGAAGAGTGGATTTCCAGGGAGCGAGAGTAATAGGTGCGCCTGTGCACTGGTTTGCCACTGGAACAGCCGTAGGATGCAGGAGTCAGTTCAAAGGGTTTTGCAGCCGGAGGAACTGAGGGTTTGGGAGGGCGGGGGCCATGAAAGAGAATGAAGAAGGGGAAGGAGACGGTAATCATTACCATGGGTAATTTGTTAATTTGCATTAAAAATTAATTTTGAGATATAATTTATATACTTTATATAAAATTCAGTTTTAAATTGTAAATTCAGTGACTTTTAGTACATTCACAAGCTTGTGCAACCATCACTATTATCGAACCCAAAACATATTCATCAGCCCAAAAAGAAACCCCCCTAACCATTAGCAGTCACTCCTTGTTTCCTCCTCCCTCCAGGTCCTGGCAACCACTAATCTGCTTTCTACCTGGATAGATGTCTTTTCTGGAGATTTCATGTATGTCCAGTAACACAATATATGACCTTTGTGTCTGGCTTCTTTCATTTAGCACGTTGTCGAAGTCCATCTTGTTGTAGCATGAGTCAGCACTTCATTCCTTTTCATGACTATATAACGTTCTATTGAATGGCTCTACCACATTTGTTTATCCATTCATCACTTGATGGACATCTGAGTTGTTTCCACTAGCAACTTACATTTATTGAGAGTTTATTCTGTGCCACGCAGCACCAGGCTAACTTATTCACCCCATTTCACACACACACACAAAAAAGATAGGTTTGAAGAGTATCAAGTATTTGCCCAAGATGAAGAGCTAGCAATTGGGAGAGCTGGGGTTGAACTCAAGCAGTCACACTTCAGAGGTAGATTCCTATCATATTACTTTAGAAAGGTACAAAGGGTACTCAAAGAAAATCCACCCCTTTCCTGAAGTTCCCCATCCACTAATTTCCCTCCTCCCTTAAAGACACTACTTTGCCATGCTGTGAATCCTTCCAGAGGAATTATTTACACTCCAACATATATGAATAATTTATTGATGAGTCTGTCCCACTAATCTGAAATGTTACTTTTATGGTATAATAAACCCTCATATGTATTTGTATTACTCTTCAGTATTGTCCTGCTTTATTGGGGCTTATTTTTATATTTGTCGTTTCTCTAGTTCCTTTTATCTTCTTTTTGATTTTTAAAAACTTTATTCTTTTCTCATGTTTCCCTTAAGGCATTATCCATTTTGATCCTACACTCTTATTTTTATTTTTATTTCTGAAAATTTTTTATTATTGATTCTGCTGAGTTCTATAATTTTACCTAGTGCTGATTTATGTAGTTCTTTCATCTTTCCTTACAACAGTAAAATATGTATAACACACAATTTACCATTTTAACCATACAATTCAGTCACAGTAAGTACATTCATTATATTGTGCAACCATTACTACCACCTAAAATTAATATAATGATGTCAAATGTCGGAGCAGGACTTCATAAAGATGGAGGGAGCAGGCCAGTTTTTGAATCTCCCCAAAGTATTTGGGGAGATGTTGGGACTGGAAAAAGCCCCTTCCAGTCTCAGCTGCTGTCCTCAACTTGGCCCCCAGTGCTCTCAGGTGAGGACTGCTGGCACTGTGAAGGCCTCCTGGGCTCACGCCCATCAGATGCTTCCTCCTGTCTGACACTCCCTCTGGTGCGATGCTGAGACCAGGTAGGTCTGTGCCCGGTGGTGGTTGTCTGCTCCACCCTCTTACTTTGGGGCTCCTACTTTCCTGGTAAATTCTACCCATGGACATTTAGTTTGGATTTATCTAATGCCATGACAGGGTTTGGGGAGATTAAAAAACAATGCCACTGCCTCTATCTTCCTTAAAATCTGCTCATCCTCTGACATGATTATTTTACTAGTAAATGTGACAGCCCTGAAATTATCAGTCCCCCAAAGCAGAGCTGCAGAGCCCATCTGCCCTACCCTCGTAGACTCTGGGTCAGACAAGGCTTTCTGAGTCTCCTCTGTCTCACATGGCACCTCATGCTTGTATTTGCTCGGATCTTGGTGTAAATAAGAAGGCAAAACACAGCTACCTGAAAGGCTCATGGGTAGAGGGACATTTGGCCACCATGAGAGGGGGAATGAACCTGTGGGCAGGGGGAGAGTCTGTAGGCAGCCACTGGTCAGGAATGTGTATCTTTTCATTCCGTCTTTCCTTCTTTTATCTTCTTTTTTAGACATGTACAAAACTGCATCTCCCATCTGCCCTCCTCCCCAGCCAAACATATACACAAACAAAACAAACAACTGATCCATGCAGTTTTCTTCATCTCAGTTCATGGTAACGCCATTTCCCAAGTTGCTCAGTCCGGAAATCTTTGAAATCATATGACTCCTCTCTTACACTCTCCATCATTCATCCAGATCAGCAGCAAATCCCATCTGCCTTACCTTCACATTGTATCAAGGACTTGTCCACTCCTGACCATTCTCCTCCACTTCCACTCTAGTCCAAGTCTCCATCATTTCCTGCCTGGATTACTGGGACAGCCTCCTAACTTGCAGTTTCCCAATCATTGTAGATCCACAGAGCCCATGGTGTCTCACCTCTATGCAAAAATAAAACAAAATAAAGTAGTCCCATTTGTTAAGTAGTTAAGTGCCAACAATTTAATAAGTATTCGTGCCTGTAGTAGGCTGGACAGTGGACAGCCAAAGATAGCAGGTGCTCATCCCTGAAACCTGTATGTATTACTGTTTTACTTAAAAAAGGGTCTTTGTGAATGAAGGGTCTTCAGGTGGGAAGGTTATCCCGGACTGTGAGGGTGAGCTGAGCCATAAATGCAATCTATGTGTCCATATGAATTGGAGGCAGAAGGAGATCTGATGCAGACAGAAGAGGGGAAGGTGATGTGACCATGGAGGAAGAGGGCTCCAGGAAAGATTTCACACAAAAATAGAATCTAATGAGTGCATCCTAGCCACATTAACAGAAATGTTCAATGGTGTTAGAGATGTGGAGGAAGAATTGGTGATTAAGTCCATAGGAAAAGACATAAACAAATGAGACCAGAATGAGGGGGACTAAAGTAGTATAAGAAAGGAAACATAACCATGGTATACTATGGCTCAGAGCTGTGTATTTATCTCATACATAACTTGAACTTAGAATTTCTGATTTAACCAAAAGTTGGGGAACAACTATACTAAAAGGATGTGGTAACAGAAGTATGTGTGTCATGGGTATGAAAAAGCTAAATCCTCATCTTCCACTGTAAGAAGTCAATAGCATTAATGTATACAATATACACTACTTAATTATAACTTCTTTTATTTCTTCCTTGTATAATAGAGCATTACAATGATTTTTTTTTCTTTAAAACTAAGTATGGAAGTAGGTTGTACTTACCTATGAATTTCATTTCAGGACAGGAAAAGGCAAAATACAAAGTATGTGCTATAAAAAGCGAAAATGGAGTGTGATGGGATAGAGAATCACTGTTCTACATGGTGAATTCAAATTTCTAAAAGAATATTGAATTAATCTTTGCTTACCTTTTTCAAAGGGACTTCGAAAGCAATGTTGGAGTCCCAGGCATCCTCCGTCCAACAGGGAGATAGTCTTGCCACCTGTTAATACATTTGTGTTAGCCAAATTCTCTTAGCCTTTCTCCCAGCACACACTGAGGACTCCTCTGTCCCCTCTTCTCTTTGCTCTGCTGCTCCAATATTCACCCCCACCGAGTTACCTGTACTTCCCCTCTTCCTGTTTCCCCATCTTGAAAACACGCACAAGGCAACAAACAGTGCAAAGGTCTCAACAAAGGAGGAATGCCTAACACCAGAGATGGCCAGAACTTCTATATCCCCGATCAAACCTAGCCTGGTCCTAAATACTAAGGTGGCATGAATACATAGATGTTAACTGAAATAGTTTAAAGTCAATTCTTTCACTTCACAGTTCATTTTTAATCCTCATACAACTGATGCCATCATTATTGGATCGGCAGGGAACTTCCAGTTCATATGGTAAAAAGAAAACCCCATAGAACGGTGACACTGCGCTGTGCTTAATAATGCTAGGAGTCACAGTGAGAATATTTGAGCTGACTTCTGCCGGATGAGTTAGAACAGCCGTGGGAAAGTACGGTCCGCGGGCCGGATCCAGCCCGTTTGAAATGAATAAAAAAAAAAAAAAAGACCGTACCCGTTTATGTAATGATGTTTACTTTGAATTTATATTAGTTCACACAAACACTCCATCCATGCTTTTGTTCCGGCCCTCCGGTCCAGTTTAAGAACCCATTGTGGCCCTCGAGTCAAAAAGTTTGCCCACCCCTGAGTTAGAATGAACTAAGGTTGATTCGGTCTATCTTAAGCATTGGAAGTGAGGGCAAAAGTTGTACAAGTTGAGGCTGGAGAAGCAGATTGGGTTCTAGACAGTACAGCATAGAGTCTTAAAGGCCGAGGTAAAGAGTTTTTTACTCTTTTTAAAATATATATATTTTTATTGATTTTAGAGAGGGAGGGAAAAACATCAAAGTTTAGAGAGAATCACCAATCAGTTGCTCCCATACCCCACACCTGGGATCGAGCCCACACCCCGGCACATGGCCTGACCTCCAGGTTCATGGGTAGACACTCAACCATGAGCCACACCAGCAGGGAGGCTCAGTGATTGATGTTTTGAGGATATTATGAGCTATGGTCCAATCTGCCCACTAAAAAGATCTGTTATGGGAAGAATGGACTGGAAGGAAACAAGAGATGGATATACATGCACTAGGAAGGACCTAACTGCAATCGGTCTGTCAAGTTCTGTAGTAAGATGCTGGGGGAGAAGCTGGAAGTCAAAAAGCTTCCGGGAGATAAAACGAAGGGGCCGTAATGAGGCACGAGGTGGAGGAAGGAAGGTCTAAAGACGGGTTCACTGGCCCTCAGCCTATGAACCAGGCCACTGTTGGGGGCGAGCAGGAGGCAGCAGAGCAGTGATTCTCATCATTGATGTTTCTATTCCTCTCTTCCTCTCTGAAATCAATAAAAAAAATTTTTTTTAAAAAGAAATAAGCAATAAGCAAAGGATCCACATTAGAAATTTGAAACGAGAGAAAAAGATCACTCAAATGAGCCGTTAGGAAGCAACAGTGTGGCCTTTTTCGGTTAAAACAATACAAACCAACTTTTTCCATGAAAAGTTCAGCGGTACTGGTGGGTTTCTTCCCCAATTTTCGTAGTTATTACATTTTAAAATACCACAACTTCCGGAATTAAGGGGGACTCTATTGGTAATTAATGGGTGTCCCCAAAACTGACAGTCCCATCTTTAAAAGCAGTCCCTCTGCATTTTACCCGAAGGGCAATGGCCAGGCCTTGCTTTTATATATTTTTGCCTTTTTATTTATTTTTTATTTATTGTTATTGAGCGTATTACAGATGACCCCACCACAAATCCTCTCGTGGCAGGACCTGGCTTTCTAAAGGATGGAAAAGTCAGAAACGCAGACGGTTCCCTGAAACTCCAGTGGGCGGGGCAGCGACAGGATCAGGGCTCGGGGCCAGGCTGACAGCAGAGACCGGAGAGACGAAGCCCGGCCCGGCTTGAAATAGGAATAGGAATAGGGCACAGATTTGGTTATAGTTGACACAAGAAACTCCAGACCAAGGCAACATAGGGTTTCCAGAAAGTATGAAACCTAGCAAAGAGTAGGCCTTTGGATGGGAGTGGATCCAACATGAGGTGAAAGAATGCATTAATAGGTATGTCGTACACTGGAATGGGAAATACAGGAGCAAAGGATATTTGGAGTGCTAAACAGCTAAGTGGTTGACACTATAAAACCTAGCAGTATCTGATAGGGCCCCAAATATCATGTAGAGGTTTGAGGGATTCCAGTCTTTAATTAAACTAAAGTGAGAGTAACAAAGCATCCAGGGGTAGATGGGCTGGGTATATTTCAACAAAGCAAGTCTTAGTTATCTCAATGGGTACAAAATGCAGGAAGTGGGTATATGGGACAAGACAATACCCTAACTGCAAAAAAGAAGACTTTAGGTCAGGGTAGAGGTTGATGCTAAGTTTCAGAGTGTTGAACTAAAGTTCTTTAGGTTCCTCCTCCTACATTTAAGATTTTTTTTTTAGAGCTAAATGATGCTGAGCCCCTAAGGCAAAGTTAAATGGCAGGAACTATGGAGAGAAAATAGTTATAGATGCTGGGAACCAGGAAAGGCCTAATTAAGGGTTTGTCTAGGTAGAATTGAAAGGTGGAACTGAGTATTTTAACATGTAAACATTTGACTGCTACCAGAATTTATCTAACTACACTTCCTCCAATCTTACACCACCTATCCTAACCTGCACTGGATATGGATTCTTTTGATTTCCAGGGGAAAACAGAAAATTTCTTTAAAAAAAAGACTGGTCTGCCCTAGCTGGTTTGACTCGTAGATAGAGCATTGGCCTGAAAACCGAAGGGTCCCAGGTTCAATTCTGGTCAAGGGCATGTATCTCGGTTGCAGGCTCGATCCCCGGCCCTGGTTGGGGCTCGTGTGGAAGGCAACCAATCGATGTGTCTCTCTCACATCGATGTTTCTCTCTGTCTCTACCTCACCCTTCCATTCTCTCTCTAAAAATCAATGGAAAAATATCCTCTGGTGAGGATTAATAAAAAACAAACAAAAAGACTGGTTTGGCTTGCAGATATTTAGCATATACTGTTATGGAAGTTGGCAATATGAGGTCTGAAACTTAGGGGGAAAATGTTGAAAAAAAATTTATAAGGCTCTGGCTAGCATGGCTCAGTGGTCAGAGCATTGGCTCACACACCAGAGGGCTGCAGGTTTGATTCCTTGTCTAGGCCATGTACCTCAGTTGCAGGTTCAATCCCCTAGTCAGCGCAATTATACAAAAACCAAATGATGTGTCTCTTTCACATGGATCTCTCTCTCCCTTGCCTCCTCCCACTCGCTAAAAAAATCAATGGAGACACTATCCTGCGGTGAGGAATAACAACATTTTTTTATAAGTTTAAACCATATGTCTACACTGCAACACCCCTCAGTGTATTTTTTCTCAGATAAGTATCATAGATTTCCTTCCCCAAACCAGCTTACTCCATATAGAGAGTGAGGCAAAATTAGGTTTACACTTGTGACTACACGAAATAGAGATTCTTCTTGTATTATTCACTAATTATTGTTTTATTCCATATGAACAACTGTACACTTACTTTTGCCCCACCCTGTATAAGTCATTAGCAACTTAGCCCTAACTCAGAGTCACAAGAGTGGTTAGTGGGAGAAGCACTCACTGGGGGGCAGAGAACAAGGGCAACCCAGGCCAACCCAGGCTAAGGGCACACCTCTGTTCTTTATGCTCAGGGCCACAGTATAACTCACCGCAATGCCCTTTTCACACACTCCCTGTGGACAAAACCAGGGCTGGATACAGAGCATAAACACAATCCCTATTTTACTAATATAACCAATGAATGATATAAGTGACAAAAACGAAAATATATTTAGGATTATTCTCTCTGGTGGACAGAACTCTTGCTCTGTATACTTTCACTTTGCCTGTTCCCTGTTCCTCATGCAAGTCCCGTCTTTATTATTCTCTTCATTTCTGTCTGGCCTTGCACCCAAGCATGGCAGACAGAGAATCCTAGAGGCCCAAAATTCTACAGCGGCTGTTTGCAAGGGGGAGGAGACTACAGTAACTGCCACACTGGATACACTTTATGGGAGAAGGAAAGGGGAAAGATCGTGAATGCCTCTCATGTATACAAATGCAGGATGGCAGCAAGCCTATGTAGCCCAAGGAACCAGAGGGAGCAGATTATGGGCAGAAGAACTGCAACCAAAGGCTAGAAGAGGAAAGGTTTGCAGTCAGCTGACTCCTAGCTCTTTGGTATTTGCTTCTAATGGGCAGAGTCCATTTTGGGACCCATCAGACACTGAAAAGAAGACCCCAGCTGCTGCTGGAAGTTGACAGGAAGTAACATCCGTGAGTGTAAGAATGCAAGAACAAAGCTTGTCTAGAAACACTGCCTACAATGAAGAAGAAGAAGAAAGGGAGAGAAGAGAGATGCAAGTCCAATCTGGCCTGTCCCAGCCCAGCCCAAGGAAGGTAGGATTCAAGAAGAAACTAAAAGAGAAGAGCCTTGGACCACATCATTCTCCACAACATGCACTCAACAAACTTCATTTTACTCTTTAACCAAGTCACAAAAGAGCTTCCTCCACCCCCGCCCCCATGCCAAATCCTCACCTGAGGATATTCTTTTCCACTGATTCTGAGAGAGTGAAAGGGGAGGGAGGAGGATGGAGATAGAGAAATATCGATTTCAGAGAGACACACTAACTGGTTGCCTCCTTCATGTGCCCCCACTGAGGGGCAGGGAGCGAATATGCAACTGAGGTATGTGCCCTTGACTGGCAATACAACACATGACCCTACGGTCTGAGGGCTGACGCTCTAATCACTGAGCCAAACCAGCCAGGGTGCAAAAGAGCTCTTTAATTCCTCCCTTTGCTCCCCAAAGTTGCAGTAAATACACTAGTTACTAGTAGATGGACAGATACAATTTCTGCACAATTGCAATGGTGCAACCTAGATAACCCTTTCTGTTCTC